AACAACAACATTTTTTAAAACACTAACTACACTGTTAACAACCAGAACAACAGCGTCAACACGTCTAACTTCTATATACAACATTTTTCATAAAACATTAACAACAACAATAACAATTAAACCCCCAACAACTACACCAACAACTATTACAACAACAATAACAATAAAACTAACAACAACTACAACAACAACAAAACCAACAACAACGTTTGAAACCAACAATAACAATAAAACCAACAACAACTACAACAACAACAGCAACAACAATTACAGCAACAACAACAATAAACCACCAACAACTACAACAACAACAAGACCAACAACATCAAGACGACCAACAACAACAACAAAACCAACAACAACATTTTAAACGACGCCAAATCAACAAACTCAACTGAAGCATTCCATCATCATTAGCATTTATTAGGAAGAGAAAATTTAAAAAAAGAATTAAACAAACGCCAACAAACAAATAAACAAACAAAACGCTTTCTTTTAATTTCACACAGATACACCGAGGTCTTCTGAAAATTGTTTGTTAGCACTATTATTATTATAACTAATAAAAGTAGTATTAGTTGTAGTTGTAGTAGTAGTAGTGGTGGTGGTGGTGATGGTGGTGATAGTGGTAGCGCGTTCCAAATTTGAACAGCTCCTCTTCCCTTCCCGAAGATCTGAGAAGATCTGAATTTTTGAATCAGTCGGCCAACATGGTTGGATTGGATGATGGCCCTGAAGACCTCTGGGTTGAGTTTCTGAGACTGATTAGGCTGATTAGGCTGATTCTCTCTGATAGACTGGGTCGGTGCATCTCCTGGCAGATGATTTTTCCCGAGAAAAGCTACTACTAGAAACCTTGTCTTTTTTTGGCTAGTGTTGTTTATCTCCGATGTATTGTTATACTGGTACATTTGTCTGTTAATATTATCGAAAGATCATCATGTGAAAGGTTAGAAATAGCATGCAGCAAGCAGCAAGCAGAACGGTAACAGCTTAAAAGCTATTACTCAAATAACCAGAAACATTTAACAAACACTGCATTAACAGCGTAAATAAAATTAACGTTAACAGTATCACAAATAATGACAAGAATAATAACAAGAACAATTAATGTTTGGAACCGCAGATAGGTTAGAAATAACAAAAAAAAAATATTTTAACGATGACATGAACAAAAACAAGTTCATTCATATTTTCAGGTAGATATATTCTTAATTTCACATAATTTAATGAATTTTTTTGTATTGTTATATTGAATTCCACACAGTTATCAATAGCATATGCATTAAAGTGATGAACATTAAAAACAACAGCAACAACACAATAACAACAACAAAAACAACAACGACAAAAACAACAACGACAAAAACAACAACGACAAAAACAACAACGACAACAACACCGACAAACAACAGCAACAACATCGACAACAACAACAACAACAACAACAACAACAACCAAGTTTACCTAAAAACCCACATCAATTTTGTGGCAATTAATTTAAATCATGTACAACGCGTCACAGGTAAAAAAACCTCACGGCGACAAAAAAACATCCTTTAACTTTCCATAAAAAACCTCATTAATACTAACATTGCTCAGCTCACGCTACTACTACTACTACTACTACTACTACTACTACTACTACTACTACTACTACTACTACTACTACTACTACAACTATTACCGCCACAACCACAACTACCACACTACTGCTGCAGTTACTACTAATGTTAATACTATGGCAACTATCACTACTACTA